TTTTATAACGCGGATGCAGGTAGGCAGCGTCTCGTATATATCGATCTAGCCATATAATGTCGAAACCACAAGCCTACTGCAGCTCTATCTATATCGGTGGGAGGTAGATACTTTATACTTTCTGTGATCAAACGGTCCAACGCCAAGCATACGAGAAGACCACAATCCCCTCTGGGTCCTTTCGTTTGTTGTGGTGCGGTCTCTTCTCTGCTAACTGTAATATTGAGCTTCTTTGGCTTCTTGTTTCCAGAACGAGTCCAATAATTTATCGCATCCAAGAATTTAGCCAAATAAGAGCTCCATCCCTTAATAATATCTCTTAAAGCAGCCAATGATATGTAATTTATCATGCTGTCATATACTATTGCCTTAAGGGATGGGATATGAAGCTCGACGAGAAGCCAATGGTTACGTTCTAAAACAGGGATAAACACCTGCAATCATAAGTAATAATTCATTCATTTGCGCACTTATTTATGAATACCTTTAAACTCAATCTAAAATAAACACTAACCTTATCGACCTCCCACCATGCAGGATAAAGTTAGCTTGTCTATTGCCCAACGCAAATGATTCATCTCGTTGATTCTTCAAGTGAACGGCGTTAAAAGACGTCGGCATAATTGTATATCGTGTATTTCTTTTATTTTCCTTAAGTTTCCTAATTATTAGAAGACGTGACACCCACGCATCGATATGTTGTTTTACAAAAAAAGACATATATTAGTAACTTACATAAATTTACAAAAAAATAATCAAATTAAAATATAAGAAAAATATAAGACTTACCCCTCCATCAAAATAGCCATTGTCTTCGACCCCTAATAATACGCCCCACCAAGACCGATCATGCAACAAATAGATATCATCATTGAGCTTGCATATGTCAGTGAAACACCCCTGGCTTCGCTCATGTAGATAAAAATCAATTGCGGTCTTAGCCCAAAGGGTGTTATCCAGAACTGTGTCCGATAGTTGTTTCCTCTCCACTTCAGATACCGGTATGGTACTGGCCGGTAACTCATACGAGAGCCAACTTGAATCCATCATGTCCGGCACATCAGAGGGTTTCTCAAGAACCCTACATATGACGCCATGTGAATCGGGCTCTTGAATGGTGGGAGGGACCTCTTCAACGATGACAGTGGCCTCTTGAACGGTGGGAGGGGACTCTCGAGGAATGATAGGGGCCTCTTCAACGATAGGAGTGGACTCTTGAGGGATGACAGTGGCCTCTTGAACGGTGGGAGGGGACTCTCGAGGAATGATAGGGGCCTCTTCAATGATAGGAGTGGACTCTTGAGGGATGACAGGCGAGTCGGGCTTCTTCTTGCGGTGTCTTCGCACTATTGGGGTATACGGAGACTTAATAGCACGTGCACGCCGTCTGATGCGTGAACTCTTTCGTGCAAGAAAAACCCGACATAAAGCATCCACCTTATCGGTCCGCTAAATAATTAAATACAAATATCAGTAAATAAACAGACATGATATTTAAACAGTGAAAACAAAGACAAATATATTTCAAACTTTCAACCAAAAGATAAAACAAAGACAAATACTAACTTCACAGTGTTAAAGAATGCACAGTTTAGCAGAATTGGCAGCAACCGAATAAATTTACTTGAACCAAAAGACAAAACAAAAAGACAAATACTAACTTCACAGTGTTAATAAACAGTTTAGCAGTATTGGCAGCAACCGAATAAATTTACTAAGCAATCTAAGTGAAATGGTTAATTTAAGTGAAATTACGAGTAAATTTATCATCAAGTTAAATATGGAAAATCTTAAACTTACCTCGTTGCGTAGAGTATGAACCTCATTCTAAAACGATACTACCATCTCACGTAGAGCGGCAACCTCACAACGTAAAGTATACACCTCCACACGCCATGCACCATCGTTATCGAGTAGAGTACCGATCTCCTCACGCAAGGCATTGACCTCATCACGTAAGTCCCTTGACTCATCCCGTGGAGGTGGAGAACAGGGAGATAGAAGTCGTGGCATCTTTGCCAGTCGCCTATCATGAGGTGATGGTGGAGAAGAGGCTCGATGATGTGACGGGATAGGTGATGGCTCTCGTTGTAGAGGTGTATAGTCGGGTCGATCAGGTGATGGCTCTGGGTGAGGTGATGGCTCTCGAAGTGGAGGAAGTGGAGGCTGCTCATCATTCGTGCCATCAAGAAAACGCTGACTAGCTTGCCACCAATCAGTGGCAAGCTCAGCCTCCGTGGGTGTCAGTCTAATTAATGGAATGTTGGCCTCCTAAAAATATAAAAACTCAAACAAAATTAAACGTCTACTATTAATAACTTGTTTATATATGATAGTATTTGTGTTAACTTACATTATTTATTGTCACATATGGTATTAAGTCTTCCCAATCCAACAGACGTTTCCTCTTCCAGGAAATAGCCCTGGGAATATCATTTGAAGTTTTTATTGCATATGTCTTCATGGCGGGAAAGGCCTCGAATATCCAAATCTACAAACAATACAATAACAAACATTAGTAATTGTTAAATAATTAATTATAATTTTGAAAACATTATATAGAAATTCTTACCTTAAAGGCCCAAACAAAGCCTGACAAAGTGTATTTCGACCCATCGCCCCGCAAACTTTTGCGGTCATCAAAGGCATACGACAACTTAGTCCAGGTAGCTTTCCATATATACGAACTCCACGGAAACAGATTCCATGCATTTAGGTCCTCTACCAATAATATTAGCTCCTGAGGAATAGGTTGTCTGGCCTCTCTGCCTAAAAAGCCGGCATACAAAAGTAGTAGAAGGCATACTCGGACAACATCGACGTCATTCATCCGAGTAAAACCATCTTTCTTATTAAACAATTTCTTCATGTCGTCGACGTGTAAGTTCGGCTTCTCTATTGACTCATCAGGAAAAACCCTGGATAACCATGATGGGCGGGTGATATGACGAGTGTACCGGCCTACATCATCGTGTCCGAATCGTAGACCAGTGATTAAGCAGAACTCCTTCCGCCCAAAACAAGTATACACCGGTGGAAAATGAAACCATATCTCTTCCTCACCACGTTGTATACTGTCGGGTAGATCTCTAGTCATGGTCTGAAGCCACAAATGGGTCAAATTAGCATCTCCACCCGGATGTTGTACTCTCAGCCATGGCCCGAAGCAGGTTTCTTCAAACAATTTTCTTTGTGCAGGTGAAAGCTTCGAAGCAATTGTAGTGGCTAGGCTAACTTTATTCCTTAATGTCAATGAAGCCGAAAAAAATTTCTACAAAAACAATAAACATACCAAGTTAGATATACCAAAAACTACACTGTCAAGATATACCAAAAACAATAAACATAAGTAGTAGTTTATTCTTGAAACTAAAATTTGCAATACTGTTTTGTCTTTTGGTTGAAATGAAAATCGCAACGAGATAATGAGAATCGCAACGCGGAAATGACTATCGCAACGAGAGAATCGCAATGCGAAATGACTATCGCAACGAGAGAATCGCAACGCGAAATGAAAATCGCAATGCAATTTTGGTTTCGCGTTGCGATTCTCTCGTTGCGATAGTTATTTTCGCGTTGCGATTTTCATTCTCGAAACTATTCTTCTTCTGCATTACTTCAACCAAAAGACAAAACAAAGACAAATACTAACTTCACAGGCTAAACAGTTTAGCAGTATTGGCAGTAATCGAATGAATTTAATAAGAAATCTAAGTGAAATGGTTAATCTATTATTGAAATTACCAGTAAACTTATCATCAATCTCAATATGAAAAACCTAAAATAATGCAAAAATTTCAAAATAAAAATAAAACAAAACTAACCCTCGGAGGTTGATTTTCCATTTCTGAATGATTGTGAGGGATTTTTGACTGTGAATGGTTGTGAGGGATTTCGCCGGCGATGGGGACGGAAATCTTCGGAGATGGGGACGGATTTCGCCGTAGAGAGTGAGAGATGGAGATGGGACTGAGTGTTGTGATTTTGGGTTTGAGGTTATGTGTTGCGATTACTATGGACGGTTCAGTTTCCGATTTATTAAGAAAAAATTCTTGTTTGGAATTTGAAAAAAAAAAATACGCGTTAATACGAATGGCTATGTAAATCGCGTTGCGAAAGTCAGAATCGCGTTGCGAAAGTCAGTATCTCGTTGCGATTTTGTATTATTGCATTGCGATAGTAAGTATCGCATTGCGATAGTCAGTATCGCATTGCGATTTTCCCAATTCGCGTTGCGATTTACTTATTCGCATTGCGAATTGGGAAAATCGCAACAACACTGTAGACCATCGCAACGCGATTTCCAACTATCGCAACGCGAATTTACGATAATGGAGATCGCGTTGCGAATTAGCAATCGCATTGCGATTTTGTTGGTCATTTTGGCAAATCCGGAAAAAATTGGTTAAAATCGTATATTATAAGGCATTTTTGGTCACTGAGGCGATTTTCTCTTTTTTTAATTATTCTAAAGATAAGTCATAATTTATTTTTAACCTTTTGTGTTCCGAGCTTGTCTTCCAAAGACGGAAGTCATACGTTCACTGTAAATTGTAAGCAACAATATATGATAGCAGTCATGTTGATTACAAGGACTAAACCTATTTATATAAAAAAAATGAATTAGGTTGTACTATAATTTATATTTAAAAAAATGTGATTTGAAGATCTCATATAAGAAAACTATATGAAATCTCTGAATAAAAAATATATTCAAAAGGATAGAAAACAAAAATGGATAGATCTGTCAAATCACGTTGGTTGAATTTAGAGCCAATATTTTGAGTGGAACAAATGCTTTTGCATAATCGGTTTTAAACTCAACCCAATCAGATGAACATCTCTTCAATCATTTTACACTCTTCAACTCACTTTCTCCCAACAATGCCAACATACGTTACGATTTGAAAAAAAAAATTATATGATACAAATAAGAAAATATAAAATATCTTAAAAGACAATTACATCGGTGCATACAAAACAACATAAAATGTTGTCAAAAGAAAGTAATAATATATTCCCTTCCATTTTATTAATTAGGCGAACAATAACAAACGCATCAAATTCTTACAACATGAAGGGCCATTGGATTTTTATCCCACAAAAGAAAGGGTAAAAAGAATAGCGATATGCGAGGGAATGAAAAACCTGTACATGAATGTTTCTTTATGCTTACACGGATTAAGTTATCATTTAATCATATTTGTAATAATCTGTTCTATTCTGTTCTAATCAAAGGTAAATTACAATTCTCACTAACACCTACCATCACCTTTGACTTGCCCCTTCTTCTCAGCATGATAAACAACTTATCCTTCCCTATGATGCTGTGAAGCAGCAAAGTCGGCTTCAACCGCACTCCGCTTCTTGACCCATCATAAGGAGCACAAACAAAGAGCTTGCTGTTGTACCAAACTCATTGCTTGATTGACCGAAGTTCCCACTTACCCTCACCATCAACGAGTCGTAACTCCAAGGCATGGAATGGTATTAGAGCAGGCCGCTGAGAGAGCACAATAGATAAGACAAGGGAACGGCTTAAATTTCAAAGGAATTAATATTGTTGCAATGATGGCGTTAAGAATCATGATGAGCATCATAAATGTTCTAATATCCATCAAAGTAAAAAGGAAAATTTGTTCTGAATGTTTGTCAGGATCAAACTACTTGCCTGTGATGAGGTAATAACGGTAATACCCAAATCTTTTGCCACTCTATAAAGTTGTTCCTCAACATCGACACTTGTGGCACTGCCATGGGAAGAATAACCCAGGTAAATTAGACATCTAGTTACCGGGTTTTAAACAAAATACATATGTGATTAGTTACATACTTTGTGCACTCGTCAAGGATACCAAATTTAGGTCTGTGGAAGAACAAGCGCGCCTGGTAAAATAGAAAGTTTGCAATCAAAATAACATAATTATGCCTGGGATAAATAGTAACGTATTGTTTTCCAAAAGGTGCAAAAGTTGGCTTAACTCACCATGCCTAATCTTTGTTGTTCTCCGAGTGAGAGAATGTCTTCCCAATTGAGATTAGCATCCCATCCACCTTCCTCACGTTCTAAAAGATAATTCAATCGAACATTTTCAAGAATGGTTTTCAAACGTGCATCAAGAATGATGTTGGCTTCCGCTTGACTTATACCTGAAAATTTTAGATGTTCATAATTTCCAAAAACACAGAGACAACCTCAGTACATTGTTTTCAGATAAACCGCTAAAGAAATAAACTGGTAACTTTGACACCAACACATAATAAATGATTTGTCACTTTATCACACCTTTAAATTGTTGTCTTATTCTTAATGAATAGAATAGAGACTAGATACAAACTCAGGTGAACCCCCTAGATCCAAATTTGAGAATTTTGAACTCTAATTATGGTCCATGTCCCTTGATAACCCATTCCCAAAGAAAAAATGCAAATGCCAACTGCCAAAATTCCAGATAATTATAGTTTTCATTAACTATTTTTGGTGGGATGAGGAAGACCAAATAGTAAATGGATGGATGGAAATTATTTAATAAAAAAAAGACCTGTCTTTACTTAGTTAAGTGGGAATATAATCCTTGACATCGCAAAATACAACAATATCAAAGGGAAAAAGCTTAGTTTCTTCTTCTTGTAACAAAACTTAAATAGACAATCACACATCAAAATGGCACCTCTTTCTTTAACGTATACTTCCAGTCTAAAAATGTAAACCCAACCGCCAAAGTACAGCAAACAAGCAATAATTTTTTATGGTTATATTATTGGACCAAAATGGCGTTCAATATTAAACAAGGAAAGCAATGCAACTTATGCAAGTAGGTTACCTTGACCGTACAACTTTAATTCTCTCATCTCTGCTTCCTCACGAGAGAGAGGATATATGATTTGATCCCTTAAAGTTCCCAAGCACGTATATGGTCGCTGAGGAACATAGAATATGCCACCAGATGCAGTATCTTCATCAAAATGGTGGGATGGTTTATAAAGCCTTCCACTCACAATAGGCCACAGACCTCTAAGTACTCTGAAAACAGAACTTTTTCCACTCCCATTTGGACCTTAAGAGATTAAAGGCAAGTCAGATATGAATCTCCTATCTAGGAAAACAATAAAAATTCCTATACTAACCAGTAACTAGCAGGCTTTTTCCTGGTACCACATCACATGTCAACTGCCTAGCCAACTGCTTCTGTGCTGGAGTAATTATATCCACCTCCGAAAAAGAAATAACATCTTTAGCGGGGAGAGCTGTCCTCTGAGACCGCAACAAGTTATTGGCGCTCAAATCCCCTGGATAGATTACAATCTTGTTAGATATATGCTTAACATTTAGGCAACTAAGAAAGTTTTTAAATAAATAAATTGAAGTATTGAACTAAGATGACTAAGAAAAGAAGTTGATCCTAATCAAATACATACAGACCAGGGGCTGATCAACAAAAATATTTATGAAGGCAAAAAAAAGATACGCCATACAGAAGCAAATACATTGCAAGAAAGAATTTCTCAAGTGATAAATACTATGAGCATAAGTATGTCAAATTGAAACACTACCTACATTACAAATCCCATGTTTTGGTAAGGCCCAAGAAATCAATGTATAATGGTTTTTGTTGAAATGTCCTGAGGGACAATGTATGGAGTTTCATACTGTAAGCAGCTTACATGCATGCACTCAACTGTTATGTTTTTATAAATTTATGAATTGCTCCTAGAAGATACCAACAGAAAACCTCCATCTCCAAACATATGATATTTGAATTCTGTAAAGTTTTTTCACACCCAGAATCTAAGGATTTAAAAAATAAGGCTCTCAAAATAATGCTAAATGCTAAACACCACAAGATTTGACAAAAATCCTTTTATACCATTGTTTCAACAAATATAACAGAACACACATAAAAAATAAATGCAAGGTATAAACAACCATTAGAAAAGAGTAAATTAGATATACCAGACTGAGCAGCATCAAGAAGCTCTTCAAGCTCAAAAATTCTGTTGATGCTCCCTGATAGCTCCAGAAACTTTCTGTGCAGTTCTAGGATGTCACCAAAAGCTAAAAAGCTTTGAGACACAACAGATGCCAGGAACCTCAGTGCATGTGCCAGCTCACCTAAAAATTAGTTAAGTACTTTCAGGGAGAGATGGAGAAACCAGAAAGTACTATATAGTCAAGTCAGATATCTAACCTTGAGTAGAAACTAAGGCTCGGTCTCCCTTGTGCTCTAGGGCATATAATAAGCTCAAAAACCAAGTAACATTATGCGGAAGTTGTTTTGTGACAAAATCATCAAGAATACCAAACAGCCATTTCTTCTTCAGAAGAAGCAGAGAGTGATCAAGAAGCTCCTTAAATCTTGAGTCGACCATCTGTTAAATATAAGAAACATACAATTAGAGACGGGGAATGGAAGTTCTGGAGAAACAGGAGTCTAGTAATGTTGCATAATGCATGATAAGCAGCAAATCATGCAAAAGGGAAAAATTAGTAGAGGGAGGGCATCAATCAAACAAAACCTGCCTCTGAAATGTAGGAACAGTACAAAATAGAATTTATTTTTTGGGTTTCAGTCTAGCATGTTAACCGTAAACTATAGTTGTGCAATATAAACGTAAGATGTATCCAAACTACTACTGGTTTCCATCTAAGTTTCCGCAAGGAAATTTCTACAACAGCATAAAAGATGATGGAAACAATGGTAGGCATTCGAATGTATCAGATACAAGAATGAGTTAACTATCTTACTGCTTTTTCCCGAGCACCGCCTCCAAAGAAAGCAACAGATTCAGCATGAGTGCGCAGTCTTTCATGCATGAACCTAATTAAATTATAGTACAAATTATTAGAATGATATATGCAGCAGCAACATCCAGATATCCATCAAATTACACCAAAATCCCTATGTGGATACATGTGTTTTCATCTTTTCATATATCAATCAATGCTTTAAGAATCTAACAGGCAATGAACGGTGAGAGTATGAAAAACACAAACTAATTATTGTCCATTTAAAGAGAATTAATTTAATGTTAACATATAAATGTACAAATGAGATAGCAACATAACTTCTTCTCATATTAGAGATTTTAATTGTTCTAATCAATCCACTGCATCATGAAAGCATTCTAACTTCCAGAGCCTCTCTTATTAAACTACCACACCAGTTTACAATGGAACTCTGCACATACATGTTCATGCAAGTATTTCCGTGTGTAAGTCCTAGCATTCTTAGTATTAGCAGCATGGATTCTAGAATTACCTAAAGGTCCCCTCAAGCTGTTGTTCTCGACTTGTCAAATCACCAAAATCAGGAGTAACAGTCCTTAGAAAACCCAGACCAAGTAACATATATGCATACAAAATGGCAACACCCCTTCTCCCAGTTAACAACTTCATTCTCCAGGTGAACCTAAAATTTGCAGCGTTGGTTAGAATTTTTCTTAGAAAGATAGACAAATGAGTTAGGAAAGGGACATATGCTTTCAAACCCAAGAATCAAGATTAGAAAGAAAACAAATCCTATCATCAAAATAAAACAAGATAATGTACTCACCACAAAATGTCAACAGATGGCTTTACCATTCCAGTAACCAGTCCTGACAAATCAGTTGTTAACTTTTCAAGATCATGAGTTAATCTTTGATCCGCATCAATACTTTTACTTGACATGTGAAAGACCTACAATGAGATGAATGTGATGTGAATTTACTATTACAGAATTCTAGGTAATAGAAGAGACAATTATAAAAATTGAGCAATGTCGACCAAGTTCACAAGCATCAGTGTATCACAGCAGATCAAACTACCTGGTAAAATGCATTATTTCTTAAGTAGTTCTTAAGCAAATTTTGGGTCAACCTAATCCTCCATCCAAGGGCCAGCCTAGCTGTCAAGTGCCTGGAAACCAAGAAAAAGGTTATTTAAAAAAAAAGCTATCTTTGACTGAGAAGGCATGGAACTAGATGTAAAATAGCTAGGAGTGAGAATAAAACTTATGTAGTAAAATTCATACCACCATGAATAAATTTAATCAAAGTCTTTCGAATCACTAACAACATCAAAATAATTTCAAAAAAAAAAAAATTCTGGAGATTATCCATGAAATTTGAATATACGTGGTTGACATTCATTATCTTCATATGACCCAAAGACCCACTTAGAAGTTTACCAGCCTGATATGAAGTAATGGGAATATAATAGAATAACTGACCATGCATAGTTTATCACTAAAAGCATATATTATTTAACAATCACAAATTACAGGTAAATAAAAGTCTACAAGTTAGAAAAGAAGCCGTGCATATAATAGGCTACACAATCTGCACATACAAAACAAAAACATACTAAAACACAAAATGGATAGTATACAAAGCATTCAGTTTACAGCATTGGAGAAAAAGAACACTAATACAAATCCTATAACTCTTTTGATTGATGATGCAATCTCTCCTGTTCAGGAAAATCTCAGAAGTCAGACCCTAGTGAGGGATTTGTCAACAAGTTTACTTAGGAAGCACAGTAAGATAAAAAAGGATCAGAAAAAAAGCAATTTCAGTATCTTCAGGGGGAAAAAATCTTTTGGCTTCAAACACATATAGACCCAGGAGTTCGGGGTTCACATTCAAACTAGACCAATCACAGGTACCAGTAAGATATCAATTTCATTATTGGGGTTTGGGAGTACACTAGGACTAAATCATTAATACAACACAATACCTATAGTAGTTAGGAAGACAAAAACATACATGTACGCCATATTGCAGATAAGTAACACAGCCATTATATAAGCAAACTTAATACATAACTACGCTGATAGATCTTTTCTCAATTAGTATCTCCCTCTTTTAGTTTATGCATTTCATATGGAGGTCAATGTGTTCTTTAGGAAAAATTACCTTAAGGAAGGTGCAATAAAAGAGGATGCACCACTTTGAAGAACACTTATACCAATTAAACGGATAAAGGCAGCCTTATTCTGCTCCAAAACATACTTCACAGTGGTCCCTGGGAAGTGATTGGTTTAAAATAACAATAAAACAATATCTTGGATTTTAAAATGAATAAATAGTATAATAATATATTTGTAATACCATTCAATGATGCAATTCGATCTGATATCCATGTTCTCGAGACAACGAGAAAAGCAACTGCAAGTAGTTGAGCCCCTTGTTTGTCAAATACCGTAGGCACCTAAAATACAAGAATTTAAGGTTGTAGATAAAGAATTAAAAACTAGTGTTGGTGGATAAAAACATTTGCTCATTAATTACATTAAGGACTTTGCATAAGGTTTACTCGAATTCAAATATTGAAGATAAGTAAAATATCAAAAACATTAATCCTCCATATGCTCAAAAACGTTATACAACAGTGTTTAAGCTACTTGTACAAGCTATGTTAGGGTTATATAGGTATAATAGAGACATCTAGAAAATGTGGTCGACTCCATCTTTGCAATTCATAATGGCACTTTCAGAAAACACAAGGATATAACTTTAAGCATTTACTCTCTGGGACTCAAACTCTACACTAAAAGCCAATTAATCAAATATACTGTTCGTACAGCGTTCTTCCAGGATCTAAAAAACTAACGAAAAATCACTTTAGGAATAAGCAATATCAAATACATAAATGTCCTACTTAATGACCAAGCAAGACAAAATAATTTACATTTTTGGGAAGCTCATCATTCAGTTTTGCAGTAAAATTTAAAACTTCATAAAGTCAATTACTGATACAAGCTTTGAACTCTATTTGCTAAATTAATAGTTCTGTATGATAAAAAAACCACATAAATGTCCTACTTAATGACCAAGCAAAACATAATAATCTATACTTTTAGGGAACTCAGCATTCAGTTTTCCAGTAAAATTTAGAACTTCACAAAGCCAATTACTGATAACTACTTTGGGCACAATAATGGGCAATTCATCCTCTCAAGTTTATGAGGTTAGTTTAAGAGAATAAAGAAAGCTTGTTCAAAACATACCAATATTCTAAACATGGCAGCTACTCTCAATGGCAGTACTCTTGGAACCTTGTGGAGTTGAGGAACAATAGGCAACCTAACATCATGAGTCACAGAGGGTGATGCTGCTATCACCTCTGACACATGTGATATAGTCTTTGGACTTGATAATTCAGAGTCCTAGAAAAATTCAGTCAAAATTTTTCAGTGAGAAAAAATGGATTAGAACACACACACAGAAACCAAACTTCAGAATTTTTAAGACCTTTTTAGCAGCAGTGAATGCCCGTTGAACTGCAATTGCATCAGTTTGGCGGTCTGTCTCAGAAACTGTAGTCAAATCAATCTCACCTTCACTCTGTACTGACGAATTCTCCCTGCATGTTTTGTAGAAATTCGATTAATGCAACATAACTACTGGTTATCCATGCAGTACCTTCAACTTTATGTTTGGTACCTTTTGTAATGAACTTTCCATCCTCCTTCCCCATCCAAGGACAAAACAACATCATGAAATGCAACTAGTGCTGGACGATGTGATATAGTTATGCATGATGTACCCATTGCTCTAACCTTAGCACAAAATCGTTCCTCCATATCAGTCGTCACAGCACTAGTGCACTCATCAAGAATAGCAAATTTAGGCTTATGGTAGAAGAGTCTAGCCATCCCCAATCTTTGTTGCTCCCCAAGAGAGAGTTCATCACCCCAATTCACCTCTTTCTCAGGTGGATAACGATCCAACAGGTAGTCAAGGTCAACCTAAAGGAACAACAAATTGAAGAATTATTTTAAAGGTAGCCTATAAAACTCAAAAAGAAACAGAAAGCATTAATACACAATTCAAAGAACAGGAAACAAAAAAAAAACTATTATGAGATTAAACTCATACATTTTTCAACAGGTCCACCATTCCACCATGTGTAAGAGGCTCAACCTCCTGATATGCAGTAAGTGGATAAATTAGCTGGTCTCGAAGGGTTCCAAACGCTGTGTATGGTCTTTGTGGCACATAGAAGATTTCCTTATTAAGATCAGAACCAACGCCAGGTTTCACGATATGGCCAGATACGAGCGGCCAAAGACCACCTAAAACACGAAAAAGGGAACTCTTTCCACTTCCATTTGGACCTTCGGCAAAGAAAAAACAAGAGATTTATATTGGCCCAAAAAATCACAACGCAACTTTGAAACAGGATTAAGCACAAGCAGATTAATTTTCAGAAAGATAAAGGGCACCACACACACACATATATATATGTAAGTATACATACATAACAAAGCACATAAACGCGCACACACATATGCATAAACAAAGAACAAGAAGACTTTCGCTTTTCACTGGAAAAACATGAATACAATTATACAAGGATATTAACAATAGTCAATAGTAGGTAAGGTTTCCAAAGGGAAGATGAGGATTTTTTTTGTGGTGGGGGGAGAGAAAAGAGTAAATTCTCCATCTTCACCCCCATTCTTGCTCCAGAGGAACTTTGCTTCTTTTCATTCAACTAGAATTAAACATGTAGAATATTTTTCTTTCTCACTCTAAACCTGTCTCTAGCCCTCTTATTCAGCTTACCTTATCTTTTAAGTACCCCACAGAGAGTATGGCTTTGGAATCTAAGCAGAGAAAAATGAAATATGTACTGAAACATAGCTACAAAGCAAGATTATCATCAAATAGAACTGTTACGAGGTTTAATATTTAAATTAAGCCACTCTTTGGTTAATATAAAATATTAAGAAAACTCCCAAAAAAAATAGCCTCAGTGTAACCAAACAAAACATGAAGCAAATCATCACTGTGTACAAAATCTACAACTTGTTTATGGTAACTCTCATTTCCAATAAAAGCTTATTATACCTCCTCAAAAATAATAGAAATGGATGAAAAATTGCAAAATAGAAGCATGTTTAAAAGAAACGGAAAGGGCAACATAAGACATTAAAAGTAAAAATATAAATCAATTTTTTTCGAGGGTAAAAGCACCTGTAATCAAAAGATTAGATCCCAATTCAACCCTTAGAGAGAGATCTTTCACCAAAACATTTCCAGTTGGAGTGACAACCTGGATGGTTACAACCATTAGAACAAAAAACATTACCAAGACATATTAAGAATCATAATGGTTAAATATCATCTCAAATACCTTGACACCAGAAAACTCAACATAATTAGCTTCAGTTAAGTAATTCCTACTACCAGCGCTTTGCAGGGATGATTTTTTATCATCAGCACTGAACTCTTTCGATATGAGCATTAACTCATGAATACGGTCAGCATAACCACTGGAAGATATTAAGAGAAACAATGTAAAAAAAAAACATAAGTTATTAAGATTAATTAAAAATCTATCTCTCACGTTTTACTTCTTATAAGTTGTAATAATCAATAATTATTACTGAAGGTGCAATGAATTCTAAGGATGCTTAAGATTTCAAAAGTTACATAGAAAGTGTTAAATCTTCCTCTATCTCTGTCTCACTTAAGTGCAATATTGTAACAATCAACTATATTCATTATTGATTTTAGGGATGTGCCTGGTAAAATTTCAGAGGTTGCTTAGGAAGCGTTTAATGTTCGTCCATATGTTGTATCACTAACAACTCTCAAAAGACAGTAAAGAAGAAAGAAATACCTGAGACGATTTAGCCGTCTTGAACTTATAGAAAGGGTTGCCAGGGACTGAAATAATGAAATTACAACACTTGTGTGATATCTTAAATTACTCAACATTTCTGCCCGTCCCAATGTTGAAGTATCTGGTCTAAGATGGCCAGCAAAGAAAGGCTCAATGATCAGAACAACAGCCACAGTAGCTCCAAGGTACTTCAATAAGAAGTCCTGAATCATGCCAAACCACCAATGGTCATGAAGTACAATCTTCATGTGCCTTACAAGAGTCTTAAACTTCTGCTGAATATGAGATTCTTCTCTACTTTCTCCACCATAAAATGCTATACTCTCTGCATGAGTCCTTAACCTTGAATGAAGTTGTCTGTATTCTCCTTCCAACTGTTGTTCTTTGGACATGAGCTTCCCAAAAGCAGGAGAGAAGTTTCTTATTGCAGCTCCAGCTCCGAAAACATAGGCCTGCCAAGTAATATCCTGTGTTAATTTGACAATTAAACAATATGGCAATCGCCAAGTATTGATACAATTGAATAGGACGAAAATTACCAAAATCCAGAATATGTATTTCGGGCTAGCATAAGAACAAAGTCGCCAAGTATAAAGTAGGCCATCAGTAACTGCCGTCAGATCATCCTGTACAAGCTCACTCAACTCTGAACAGAATCTTGGCACGTCACTTGCAATCCGTTGTTCAGGATTCCTAATACGTCCATCAACATGTGATATTTTGTAATAAGCCATGTTCTGAAATCAAAAATTTTGTCAGGAAATAACAAATAGAACATATTAATTAAAAAATCTTTTTATGAATGTACATCTAATAGATGAGTACTTCTTACTCCATGAGAGAACAAACAAAAGTAAAGCAGCATTATAAGAAATGAAGATTGCATTTGCAATTTATATGTCAGAGGGACAATCTCATTGCAGTTTGAAGCAAAGTGGATTTGGAAAAAAACATTTGGAGGAAAGCGTAAATGAATAGGTATCAGGATTAAAACAGAATACTCAAAACTTTCAGCACTAACAAGAAAATATACTCAGTTCCAGGAAAGAAAATTTTAGACTCTGAACTTGACAAATTTTTGTCTACGAGGATTAAGACTTCAATTCCACAAGGCTTTTGGTTAAAGTTATCGCACACATTTTATAAGGGAAGATGAAAAATATCATATAAAAAGAATATGATACTATTAAATATTAAACAAAAAAACATGTAATCCACCTGCAAAGTAGAGATGCACAAACAAGATAGTTCACTTATGCAAGCACAGATGAACAGTAAAGCATGATTAATGAAGTCAGATGGGAAAGATACCTGACCCAGATTGAGATGAAATAGCATAGGATAGAAACTTTATAAAAAATAATAACAAATTATGCCAACATCAAGGCAGAAAACTACCTCAAAGTAATGTGCATGGATGAGTAGATAGTTCACTTATGCAAGCACAGATGAACAGTAAAGCATGATTAATGAAGTCAGATGGGAAAGATACCTGACCCAGATTGAGATGAAATAGCATAGGATAGAAACTTTATAAAAAATAATAACAAATTATGCCAACATCAAAGGCAGAAAACTACCTCAAAGTAATGTGCATGGATGAGTTTTGTCAGTATTTTTCTGAACCTCAGACTTAGGGTACCCGTTATGTATTTTGAAGTTGAATGAATGGTCGACAGAAGAAAACACAATAAAACATTTTCGAATATTAGCCGGAAAAATGATGGAACACGCCGAAGAAAAGCAGCACGGAATAGAAATCCCTGAACTTTTGCCAATCTATTGCTCAAAGCAGTTCTCAGCACCTGCAAAAAGGTATAAGAATAGATGTTACTTAAAAAGAGCACAAAACCTCCTCTACAGTACAAGCTAAATCAGCATCCATTGTTTGCCTTAACCAATTTCCTTCTCACGTGCATTGGCTTATTGCCTTATCCTTGTTTCTATTTGTGTAGTAAATATAAATTTAATCAGAGAATCATTTGGTTCTATAGCTTGTGTAATAATATGCCCTGTACTGCTTATGATATTGAGTAGATAGAATCTTTCTTCTTCATCTCATGGCACCAGAGCTCCTTCTTCTCTTTTCCCATATGAGAACCTAAGTTTCTCTCTAAGCTTTCCTGTTTGCAACATGTCCCTATTGAGCCACTGTTACAAAATCTAGACTCTAGGTAACAAGACAAGTACAAAGACGGATAATGTTTGAAAGTTTGCAAGTTTCTATCTTAATAATGTTTGTGATTTGCAATGTGATGTGACAAACAAAATATAAAGGATAAAAATTTCAGGAAGTAAGCAAAATATTAAGCCCTTGTATGTTGGATATACACAATAAAAAAAGCTTACCACCATGCCCACCAATGCCAAAAGATCTCTTGCACCCATTTGGCCCATCTTAGATAGAAGAATTGCTGTTAAAACCTGAAGGGACTTCAATCCTCCTTTCTTTCGTGTAGTTCCCTTTACATTATTGTTCTTTTTAAGAACTTTATCTGAATTGTCTCTGTTTCCTTGGACCCCATTGTAATGACTATATGAAACAGCTTTTTTATTACTAAACCTTGATTGCAGATAAGCAGCAGTTCCACCGGCAACAACAATACCAGAAGCAAGAAGTAGTGCTTTCCTGTGAAAAGATAAAAAAAAAGGTAAATACAAGTCATATGGGGAACTGAGAAGACTAAGGTTATTTGATTTGAGCACTGTAACATGAATACCATTGCATGAACATCCAACATAGCACCACTAGACAAGTGAGTAGAGGAATAACATCATGCCACATAGCATATAAATTAGTTTAACAATAGTAAGACATGATAGGACCTAGCATAGCGCATTGTGCATAGATCACCATTCCTAATAATAAGATGGTATATTCTCCCACATCATCTTTTACAAGAGAATGCCCCCATCCAGATGTTTTCTTTTCTCTCCTAAGTCCCAGCTCTTAAAAACATGTTCACTCCAAATAGTTAGCTGGTTTAAAAACTTCCGAAATGTTATTTATGATTAAACTGATAATGAAGGCATGTACTCGAGACCAGTTCCATTTTCTATATCATTCTTCCTCTAAATTTTTGAATTTTTTATAACAGTTAAAGGAACAACTTTCAAGGTTTTACTAATTGATAGAGAATGCCTTGATACAATGATAGTTCCCAAGATAAAAACAGAATTAAAAAATGCAAGCCGAAAATGACAATGTGTTACATTATTCTTTCAACACTTTTAAAGCTTCTAACAAGTGTAAAGTGCAGGCCTTCTATTCATGAGGTTACTCACTTTAGGTATATAGTAAGAAACCCCAAACAAATAGAAGATCTGAAGACACTTTTCTCTATTTATTCACATTCATCAAGAAGTATTAAGAAAAGTATAGAGGAAAGAGAGAAACACAAGGTAATATTTTCTATAGAATAAGGGTAAAATAGTAGCATCATCATTAACAAACCAGTTCAACAAAAGCACAAACTATTTTATCATTTATACGAAAAAAATAAATTCACTCAATTAAGATATAGGAATATCAATATAATTATTAAAATTGAATATAACCAAAAAAAATACAAATACCTCCTAGAAGCCAGAAGATTTTGGCCATGCTCCGTTAGCTGCAACAATTGAAGAGAAGGCATTGTTGAAGGTGGAACACAACACGGTTGCAAAGATAGGCCACCAACCAAGGATCGAAGATTCTGGAATACATTAACAACTGTTAAATAACAATGCTTCAATTTTGGCATTTCCTACAATCAAAATTGGGAACCAGTATATTGAAAGAGGGACAAATAGTACTTATTATTTTTTAAGAAAAAGTGAAGAAACATCGCTAGAAATGTACATGTCTGTTGTTATAAGACAACATTTATACCCCTATAGTGCACTTGCTGTAAATGACAACAAATAGGATACAAGATTATATGTGAAAATAAAATCTAGCAAGGACTCTTCAAATTGGAGAAACTTTAAGCGGCAATTTTTTATTTATTGACTAAAACATCCCAAATCTTCCCTGTTATTCCCCGAAAGAATAGATCTCAAAAATTTTACAGCCAAGGCCAACTAATGCAATTAGTAGCATTGTGAAAGATAATGTTCTGCAGAAGGAAAGACAATTGTAACAAATTCAAACTCTCTCTCTCTCTCTCTCTATATATATATATATATAAAATAATAACTTAAGATGGTTTAGTTCGAACCCTTCTTAATCTATCACAAACTCTATTGCTTGAATCTACTAAAAATAAATAAAAATGTACATTCTTCATCTGAAAATGTAAACAAATTTCTGAGCAACCCACCTCTTCTTCATTAAAAAATTGTTAAATTAATTTTGTGCCCGCTGTCCAACATGCAAGTAGCCTGAATTTCTAATACTTAGTTGCCACATTAGAGCTTAGGGGCATTGAACCCTCTGTCACAAACCAGACAAACTGGTCTCAAAAACGAATACCTCATAAACTTCATATTACTATATTAACCACAAGATTTACCAAAGCAGATGCCACAAATTGATGAGAACTAAAGGCGAATCAATGTTGTTCAATTTAACAGTAATAGTAGCCAGAACATTTTACAATCTATACATGAAATAACCCTAAACAGCTACAATTCACTACTACCTCGAAAATCAACAGAGAAGAGGAAAAGCCTAACTGTAGCATTAAATTTTACAACGTCAACAATGCAGACCTGAACTTTTAGAGCTCCACTTCAGTTCAACTCTCCATAATTTGATCAAACACCTTAACATACCAAACATATTTTCTTTAAATAGTGACAGCCTTTTTTTCCCTATTTTTTCTTTTATAAAAAGAGTCTCCTAAAAACATAATAATCCTAATCTCCATAAACTAATCAGAACCGCAGATTCAAAAACAAGAAAAAAAATGAAAATTTAACTACAATCCAAAAATTAAAAGAAAATAAAAATAGAGAGCAGGTGTTTAATAGTACCTGAGCTTCTCACAATCGCATCAAAACAATAGAAACCGCTTCAATCTTTGCAATCCCCTTCTCTCTCTCTCTCTCTCTCTCTCTCTCTCTCTCTCTCTCCCACCTATCAATTGCTCTCGTAACCGAAATTTCCACCGAATTTTTTTCCTTTAAATACTGATTATAAAATCGCCAAGCTCCCCAATCATTGAACCAAATTATTCGGGGGGCGGTGGTTTGCTGAATCGAAGACGAGCGGGATGAACAGAATTCCAAGTAAAGAGGAGAGAGAAAATAAGATTTTTCCCCTTTTTTTCTTCTTAAGAATGAGAGAGAAAGCCTCTGGCAGATGACATATTCTAGGCGATGGAGTGTCGTAGGGCGCCTTATTTATACATAATTAAGTAATTCCAACTGTTTAACTAATGTGCCCAATTTTTATTTTAATTTTTATTTAATTTTTTGAATTATAATTTGCCCAAATTCGTTTTCTGTGAATAGAACTCGTCTCTCTTCTTCCTTTTACTTTTAATCCAAACAAACCTATGTGTCCCGTAACTTAATGAACAACGTTCACACTTTTAGAACCCTTCTTAATTATTTTTTTCAAAAAATTAATGATTATATTATTTAACTTTTTTAATATATTGTTTTTAATTATTTTAAAACTATATTTTAATATTAATCAATATATATATATTTAATAAATTCCCCCAAAATTTTGGCTAAAGAAACGACAACATAAAAGTCGTGTTTTGTATTTCCGATTAATGATTATATTATTTAACTTTTTTAATATATTGTTTTTAATTATTTTAAAACTATATTTTAATATTAATCAATATATATATATTTAATAAATTCCCCCAAAAATTTTGGCTAAAGAAACGACAACATAAAAGTCGTGTTTTGTATTTCCGAATAAATTTTAAATTAACTCAACAGTCAAGACTCCATTCTTTTCTTTAAAGTTAATAATGTTTGCGTTTTGAAGTTGATAATGACTTGTTTTAGTAATAAGACCTACCATATTTAAATTATAAAAGTATTGGTATCTTAAATTTGAAATTTTATTTGTTTAAAAGGTTGTAACTAAATTTATGTTTTATGTTAATGGAAATAAATTTATCTCGTAAGTAGTTGTCAGTTCGTCTCTTTTAGCTTGAATGAAAAATCATGACCGACAAGAGAATAGTTGTTGGTCAATATTTCTCTATAAGAGAGTGTTGATCGTAAAGAGGCGGAATCGATGTCTAAGTTGAAGAAGTTTCAGCCTCTTATCAGTCTTGATTAATAGTATTTATGGTGGTTCTTATCTCGTAGTTGACGTCATCAAGTATATGTCTATTATGATTATTCGTATGTCAACAAATTAGATAGAGTTGATAGTCAAAACTTGAATTTTGATTTGGTGGATTACGTGGGCATGTCATATGTCCTAAGTAAAAGCCTTGTCTATGTTGTCGTAACCGGTTTTCACTCGGGCACGAATTTTTCTTGACGGAAAAAGTATGTGAATAAATAAATGGTTTTATAATAAAAAGGGATTCGTGGTCGGTTACGTTTTGGGAATGATTAGTACTCTCACAACGCCCAAAATTAGTACACATTAATTATAAATTGTCTATAATACTATAATTTAAGAATTCGAATATAAATTTAATTTATGATCCTCTTATTTCAGATTCAATCATATAATTCTAAGGAAAAATATAACTAAAGTAAATAAATATATATATTATAAGTAATAGAATTTATTTATTTAAAAATATGAGAATATGACATCTAGTTACTTTAAGGCAATCCCTTTCTTTAATATTAAAAAAATAAATAAATATTAATAAAAATATGATAAAAATAATTTAAATAAAACTGAAGAAAATATATATTATTTTTATAAGTAGGGTATTTATTTATCTAAAAATATCAGAAAATTAGTTACTTTAAGACAACCCCTTTCTTAATATAAAAAAATAAATAAATTTAAACATTTCATATATATATATATATATATATATATTCACATGATTAAAATAAAATAAAAAGTAAAATAAAGAATAATAATTAAAGTACTAAATTAAAAATATTGAAACTGGGTAATAATAAAAAAATAAAAAAAAAATTCAATTAATAATGACCAAAATAAAGAAAATTAAAATTATGTAATCATATTCATAAATAAAATAATGACTAATGACTAAAATGAAATAAAATATAAATTAGCATGCAAAATTTGAAATAAAATAAATAAAAAATCAGTGACTAAACTATAAAACAATACCTAAACTATAAGGACTTATAGGTGATTAACCAACTAACTAGTGACTTAAATGTAAATACACGCTAAAAGTACAGGTACCTTGGCTTGATTTACCCTATTTTAAACAAGAGCATTTTCTATACAAAACATAAACGGGAAATATCATATTAGGCCCAACGATTTGAACTAAAGATCAAAACACTCCAAGTCAGTGGTTAAAATGAAAAAAAATGGTACCAGTTTGGGGATTTAAATGTGATTTTCCCAAAAACATACGATATATAAGCATATTTTTCTTCATATAGATAAAATAAACAAACCCTAGCCCACTTTCTTATCTCTTCTTTTCTCTCAACCGAGAGACCACAACTCTCACATTCCTCTTTTACATCCGGCCGAGCGACCCAAGAAAAACAACACCACCTTGTTGCCGGCCACCGTAAATCGGTAGCCAAATACTCCTCCGATCATTCCCCACACAAAACCCGAATCTAAAATTTATCCTAAAAAATTTTAAATCCCGATTTGGGATTAAAACTACCAAAATCTGGAACTAACAACTCAAGTTTTTATTCCCCAATACTTCTATCAGCGTATCTCCGGCGACTTAAACTTCAACGACGAACCCTTGGCGCCGGTACAACTAACTCTTCTTTATTGTTTTTTATTTATTTATTAACCTACTTTTTTATTTCGAAAATAAAAATACAATACAAAGCTGAAAAATAAAAACAAATGTGAAAATAACCTTTGTTGTTTTCTTTCTGATTTTTTTTTGTATTGATGCTTGATTCCCATGTAAAAAATTTACATAATGGTCTTGGATTTTTATATCCCCAATTTACAAAATAAGAATCAAAGATGATTTTTCCTTTCTCCTTGCATGTGTGGTTGTTGTTGGTGCGCGTGGAGGGACATATGGTTTAGTGGAAGCTGTTGGAACGGGGACGTATAGGGGCTGTTGTCATTTGCTGGAAGCTGCTGGAACTGTAACATGGAGAGGAGACGCTGGCAGTGCTGGAAGCTACTGGATGGAGGGGACTACTAGATATGAGAGGTAAAAATGGTGATTACAACTGCCCCTCTTTGCTCGTTGCTGTGGAACATGAATGGAGCAAAGACATAAAGCACCATTTTTAGCTTGAATTGTTCAAACTTCTGAGCCATAAGTTCTTCTCATTATGAATTTTTTGCTCACTTCGGACGAGTTCTTCTTATTATGAATTTTCCACTATTAATGATGATTTATCTCTTTCTGTGATGGATTTGACAAAAGGTTGAACAATGTTGATGTTGATCTATTTCCCTCTGTGATGAGTCGAGCTAAGGTTGAACAAGTTCTTGAGATTATGAACTTCTTCTTCCTCTTCAGATGAGTTCTTCATATTATAAACTCCTATCTGGAAATGTTAATGTTGTTCTATCTCCTTCTGCGATAAAGTCAAGCAAAAGGTGGAATAAGCTCTTCAGACTATGAACTTCTTCTTTCTCTTCAGATGGGTTCTTCAGATTATGAACTCCTTCCTCTTCATATGAGTTCTTCGGGCTATGAACTCCTTCTTCCTCTTCAGACGAGTTCTTCAGATTATGAACTCCTTCTTCCTCTTCAGACGAGTTCTTCAGACTATGAACCCAATATTCCTCTTCATATGAGTTCTTCAGATTATGAACTCATTCTTCCTCTTCAGACGAGTTCTTCAGATTATGAACTCCTTCTTCCTCTTCAGACGAGTTCTTCAGACTATGAACCCATTATTCCTCTTCATATGAGTTCTTCAGATTATGAACTCCTTCTTCCTCTTCAGACGAGTTCTTTAGATTATGAACTCCTTCTTCCTCTTCAGACGAGTTCTTCAGACTATGAACTCCTTCTTCCTCTTCAGACGAGTTCTTCAGACTATGAACTCCTTCTGGAAATATTTTAAGAAAAATAATCTCAAGTGAGATAAATTGTTATTTAGAGTGAAACTTTCTCCAGCGAGAAACAGTTTGTTTTAAGAAAAACAATCTCAAGTGAGATAAATTGCTATTTCAAGTGAAACTTTCTCTAGCGAAAAAAAAATTGTTTTAAGAAAAACAATCTCAAGTGAGATAAATTACTATTTCGAGTGAAAATTTCTCCAGCGAAAAATAGTTTATTTTAAGAAAAACAATCTCAAGTGAGATAAATTGATATTTCAAGTGAAACTTTCTCCAGTGAGAAACAGTTTGTTTTAAGAAAAATAATCTCAAGTGAGATAAATTGCTATTTGAAAACATCCTGCACTGAAGGTCTTATGGATGGCCTGTAGGACTTACAAATTTGGGAAATAGTTTACTAAGTAAGAAACTTTGGAAATCGTTTTCTTACTATTCAACAATTTCATTTTCAAAAAAGATTAAATGAGAAACTTTGGAACTTGTTTTCTCATTTTTCGAAATAACTTTTTAGTTGGGTAACATGACCCAACTTCAAAATAATGCTTCATTTGTGGATTGCATCCATCTATTCTTCATATCTTTGCATGATTCCTATACTTGAGGCTTGAATTCTACCTTACACTTGTAAGGTATTTTCCATCATGAATATTCTTTTTTCATATGAAAACCTGTAAAACTTCATGTTTGAATGAAATCAAATGTATCAATGTAATGCATTTTCTATTATGCAAATGATGTTCTTATGAATGCATGAATGTTGATGCAATCTTCATTCGACTTCAAAGTTGTAAACTTGGTCTTCATTTACTTAGTCAAAATGTCATTTCAAGCGGCATTTATGATGAACCATCTGATTCACTTACATATTTGTGTCTTCTTTGTTTTATTAAAGTCTCATTTATAGAACTCTTGTCGTAATCAAAATTATGACCTTGATGCCCCATTTTATCTTTGATAAAATTGGTTTTCTTCGTCTGAACTTGTGTAAAATCTAATAAAGCTTTCATCTTTGAAAAGAGAATCTATCATCTTTGAAGAGTGTAGATGTAGATATGCCCTATTCAGCAGAGATTAATTAGCAACGTCTATTCTGATTTGACTCTTGAAACACATCATAAAGAGGATTTATC